GACTGAATATCGTAGAGATAACAGACTTAGCGAACCCCAACAATGTAGAAGCCATGGAAATGTAATCACCCTCCTACAAGTCTCCAAGCAAATAAATTTCAACAGCGGGTTAAGTAGTGATGCAACATGTTCTTCCAGTACAAGCTTAACCAGTTCCATGTAAAATTGTTGTGCTAGTACTGTGTAGATAATGAACCAACCAGAGCCTTCATTTAAGCAACTTTGTTCAATCACTATTTTGAATTAAATTACTTATTCTAACGAGTTGCCTTGCAATAAAGCAACCAGGCAGTAGCACCGCATGATGTTTACCTCCAATGCATTAGAACCCGCCTATACATTAGAAAAGTTGGAGAGTTTCACAGTAGCAAGTTCAGCATTGTAGTGTCTTTGGATGTTGATTTCCCATTTGTCATTGCCCCAAGCACACAAACGGCAAGGTGACTAGGATACTACATTCACAACCACATACATAACACTTATTATGTTGCCAACAATGTACAGAAGCATCAAAATTAGGTTTCAAAATAGTCTAAGTTCTATTACCACTATGTAATTTCACACTGGACAAAACGAATGACACTTTTACAGACTGAATCAAATAAAAATCTATTCTTTCACTTTGCAAACTATGACTGAAGGTGATAAGGTTTTTGTTTTATTTCTAAAATAATGAAATTTGTATTTATTATCGATTCTGTCTGTAAAACCTCCCATTTATTCATTCTGGCGTGACACAACATCAACTGAACTGAACGGTACAAGCCCTTGTGAATTTACGCAATCTAACACTATCAAGAAGAGATTCAGGTCAGGTACAAGGACCACAAGAATTTCAATCAATCAATCAGTTTAACAATCAATTTAATTAAGAACATTGGTACCATATAAACAGTATGTAAAAAAAACTTGAATTACAGCCCAAAATGTAAATGACTCTAAAGTTGCACAAATTTACTACATATACTGAGCCCTCGATTGGTTGTTTAAGGGTCACATGCATAAACACCAACTCAATTGGTCCCCTGCTATTCCCTTGCATTAAGGCAGTTATTATTAACTACAAATTTAAATTGTAAAAATCATCGACTGAACAAATCTCTCGACACAAAACTGGTAATTTGGTGTACTATTACAAAAAAGGCACTAGTCTGCATATAAAATATGATGAAATTATTTAATATGATACAAAATTATCAATATGTTGCCACTGATCTTGGATACATTGTTAGTTTTTCAGCGTAAATTTGGGTTGAACATTTTGCACATTGTCACTTATTTCACAGTCATTACCTTGTTAATTTCAGGTATAATTCTGGATCTACATTGTAACAAATGTCAATATTTGTGCAAAAATCCACCAGTGGCCAACAAAGACAAGTGACTGAGTATTCTGCTTGTCAAAGCTATGGAACCAAGGAATTATGTGGTTATACGCCATTATAAGACACTTAACCAATAGTATCCTATGAAAATCTGCCTAAAGACCAAGACAAAAATTGTATACATAAAGCCTATCAAAGAATATCAAGAAAATGCATTTGGTTTGACAGCAGATTTGGTCCAGACATGCAACATGTAAATGCAACACTATTTTTGAAATGCACATGTCAATAAAAGCAAACTGGCAGTTTTTTAAAAAAAGGAAAACGAAATATAAATGTATAGAATTTGTTGAGCATTCAAATTGGATTAATTAACATTTGACTAGGACTATACAAACACATTGCTACCTCATTCATAGATAAAGTTATTCAGTTATATAATCAGCACCCCTCCATGCCTCTAAAATGTGCCTCTATTTACTATAAAAATACAGCACAATACATTATTACATTAAAAACTACTACTGTCTCCACAAAAGCTGACTCAATAATAAAATACATCATATTCCTAGTACAGTTGTATATTATATTAAAGGCTATAACATTTCATTCAGTAGTGATTCACTGATAGGAAATACTAATAAATTAACAAAGCTAAATTATGAAACTAAGGTGGACTATAAATCATGTAAAATATATTTCTATTCTGAGATTGCATTAATTGATTTCAGTTTGAAATCTGTTAGACTTGTAGAAAAATCCAATCCCTAAATGTTGTTGTACATCTACAGGCAAAGAGATTTTTTTCTGTACAAGTTAGATGATACATTTGCAGTGATTGGTTTCAAGAAAAGTCTGTCTTGAATTTTGCTATATAAAAAGAAAGAAAGTGTGTCTTTGCACATCAAAACTACAATAGAAATAAAATGGATCTTTGAAGTAAACTGTACTACAAAAACTAATGTTTTATATAGCTGGTGGAGCAGAATAATTCACGAATATGTGCACAAAGCAGGGTGAAGTGAGCACATCGTCCTGGCAGGCTAAGCAGCACTATGCATGTAATATATTGTCAACAGGCCATGCCAGCACAGTCAAGAATAGAAAGAAGACATAATTAAATAGTTTCCACTGATTTGTAACTTACAAACACCCACCATGGCGTAAATTAGATTCATGGATGTTTCACAAATTGCTGCAAAAACGTGTTAAAATTACCACATGCAGGCTTTTGTTGTTGATATTTTGATGTTCTTTCTTATATATGACACTTTAAACTACATAGGTCTATCTATCTGTTATTACCTGTGTGTGCTAATAAGCTTTATTCCCATGTCATATGGAAGGTACATTTGAAAGCAATACAGTCGCCACACAGTACACACATGTTAATAAACAATGACTCTTCATACATGTCACATGGGACCCATAATGACCATGGCGAGTAGCAAGAGGTAATTAAAAATTATTGTTTAAACACAGAGCTGGATGAAATGGTCAAGATAAAGTAGTTTCTAAAAATGATTAGATAGCCAAAGTCATTATCAAACTGTTCATAACTATGTAAATGTAAATCAAAGAAAGCTTAGAAAGAACTCCCGTGTGCTGAGAGTATTACTTGTACACGAGATATTGATGGAAAAGCTAAAAACGAATTATGTAAATCAGGTAACTAATATGAACAGAACAGAACAAAAAAATTATGAATTATTATGCTAATTAGAGAATGAATATTAATCAAAATTAATCAGGCCTGTCTATTGTCCTAGAGCATTTATGTACCAAATTTTATTCAAATGTGATCAATTGAGATATCAGTGTTAATTAGGTTAATTATGTTAATTAGGTGATTAATAAGCATAAATATCCACCAAAAACTAATTGGGTTTCTGCATAGTTCTCTTTAAAAGTTTCATTAAAATTCAATCTGTGGTTCTTTATATATCAGTGGAACATTATGCAAATTAGGTAATTAATATCCAATTAAAACTAATCAGGTGTCTGCATAATCCTAGAAGATCTATGTAGCAAGTGTCATTGAAATATGATGATTACTACTTGATATATCAAAAGCTGAAAATTAATTAATTATGCAAATTAGGTAATTAATATGTACTGATATTACCCTAAAAACTATCAGGTCTGTGCAGTGTCCTATGACATCTATGTAGCAAGTCTCATTGAAATATGATGATTACTACTTGAAATATCAAAAGCTGAAAATTAATTAATTATGCTAATTAGGTAATTAATATGTACTCGTATTACCCTAAAAACTATCAGGTCTGTGCAGTGTCCTATGACATCTATGTACCAAGTGTCATTGAAATGTGATGATTACTACTTGAAATATCAAAAGCTGAAAATTAATTAATTATGCAAATTAGCTAATTAATATATACTGATATTACCCTAAAAACTATCAGGTTTGTGCAATGTCCTATGACATCTATGTATGAGATATCAGTGGAAAAGCCGAAAATTGATTAATCACTATGCAAATTAGGTAATTAATATTGCACAGATTTGTACCCAAAACTAATCAAATCTGCGCATTAGTTTGGAGCATCTGTGTGCCAAGTTTCATCAAAATCCAATGAGTGGTTCTTTAGATATCAGTGGAACAGTCATGGAACATCTAAAAATCAGCTAATTATCATGCAAATTAGGTAATTAATATGCATGGATTTTTACCAAAACCTAATCAAATCTGCGCATTGGCCCAGAGCATTTATGCACCAAGTTTCATCAAAAACTGATGTATGGTTCTTGAGATATCAGTGGAAAAGACGAACACACATACATACACACACACACACGCACACACGCACACACACACACACACACACACACACACATACACACTAACTGCAAAGACTCCCATTTTGTACTTCGCACACGGGAGTCAAAAAGCAATCATGCTATGTTTATATTTTGATTGTCTTATTCAATAAGGATTAGATGATATTAAACTATAAATTGAATACTGTAAAATGCTTTATTTTAGCTGGAATTAATTTTTGACGAATAGACATTTTCAATGTTTTTTGATGAGTTGAATGTAAAATATAGGAAAAAAATATATTTGCTAGATTTTATTTTCAATGAATTATTTTCCTTCAGTGAAAATAGTGAAAATTAATTCCAAGCAAAAATACATTATTCAACCAAACAAATATTACAGTAAGAAATCTATGGTAACTTATGTTCTCTGTTTGGTACATACAAATGTATAAATATTGCATAAACTTGTGGCACTGTGTGTGCTAATATAAAAGATCATCCCTGATTGGTTTAGTAGTGGCGTAATATGATTGGTGACTTCTTCTCTTAAAAACTGACTGTATGACTGAGAGTAGAGTGAATAAAAAAAATGGTCAGAAAGATACATAATTACGTAAATGACATGATGGGATGTGACTCAACAAATGCAGCAGTCTGTTTAATGCGTCACCTGCTGAAAGCCTCTACTGCATTGTGTATATGGCATCAGCAGGAAATGTTAAAAATATAACAGTCAGTTTAGAGAATGAAGTTGGTTAAAATAGAGCAGTCAATTTAAAATAGATCAGTCAGTTTAAAATGAAGCAGTCAGTTCAAAATCGATCAAAATCGAAAATAGATTTAAAATAGAGCAGTCAGTTCAAAGGAGAATGCCAGTCACCTCTATAAACATCACAAACATCCAAAATTCCATTTTCTATTATTGAATTCATCCATAATTTCTTTTGGTACGTGTTTCAGAAAACGCCTCGATTTGGAGTCTTTCCCCTTCCGACAGTAAATAACTGAGAGGACGAAGAAGGAGTCCATAGCTTTGCTCTCCATTCCCAACTTAATGCGATGACAGTCATTGCCGTTGTTGTCACTGGGATAATCTGTTAAGGAATAGTTGGTTAAACCACTATGGTAACTGTAGAGCTCTTCATCATCAACTTCAGTAAAGCGATAAAGATGATTGGGTGAATAGATGAAGCGCAGTGTTTCCATGTGACCACTACTACCCACAGAGGAGGTAGTCCTTGAACTAGTGGGGGTGGAACTACGGGTAGTTGAGGTAGACGCTGACTGTTGAGTTTTGTTTCCATCAGGAGTACCAGCATCACCGCCACCAATCTCTGAATCATTTGTGCTTTCAGGCACAAAACCTACCCCTCCATCGTCATCAGGCAGAGTATCTCTATTGCTTGGGTCTTTACCACCAGATTCTACAGCAATCTGCTCTGTATTAACTGACTCTAACCCTTCTCTTCCATCAAAACTCACTAGCGATACCTCCTTAAGATTTTTCCCCCTCCTCTCACTGAGACGTTTTTTCTGTCCTCCATCTGATAGATTTCCTACCTCTTCTGAATGGTTCTGACTTTCAAAGACACTAGACTCCCTTCTTCCTTCCTTTGTACCATCCTCAGCCATATGCACCATAACTTCACCAACTACCTCATTTCTGGCACCTATCTGGCCCACACCCTCACTTACAACCTCATTCATGGCATCTATCTCACCCATACTATCGCTAACTACCTCACTCCTGGCACCTGTCTGTCTCACACAGTCACCACTTCCACCTCTTTCATCCATTGCATGTTCAGGACAAGATCTCATCTCATCAGTATCAATTGTAGAGGAACGTGCTCTTTCTAAAGAATTGCCATCAGAGTTACAGCTTCTCTGGAATTTGAGTGATGAATGTGGACGGCTATGAAAGGTTACTTCTGGATAGGGTGACGGCAGTGGAGAGGATGCATCTGTTGTGGTGGAGCTTCTAGCACGAGCTGAAAACAGATACAATAATCTCAATAAGCAACACACACTATTCTCAGAATATTTTGCATGGTTGTATATGTATGTGCTGATTATTTGTAACTGTAATATGAGTTGCAACACAGCAGCTATTTTCTCTGCATGGATTTGAAAATAAATAAATAAAATGTTAACGAAGAATTATCCTTGGGTGAAAATATGACAGTTTATGTACTATGTCATGCACATTGGATTATGGGTAATTTTAGCAGGGAGTTCATAATTATTGATTAATATATCCATTCTTTATAATTATTGATTAATATATCCATATTCAATTATTCTCATTCATTTGTAGTTTTCGCTGGTGCTAGCCAATTATTACAGACACTATTTCTATACAGTTAGATATCTGTCTAACTAAAACAAAAGGTTGGAATGTACATGTACTAGCTGGAAGCAGTATTTATATTTTTATCACAAAGTCACCCAATGATGCTGATCGCATTTGTCATTATTGATCTCTGATGGACTAAGTCTTATGTTTTGGAAGTCTGTTTATTCATCTGTGTGTTCATCTTCATTTCTTACACATGTCTAGATGGATTTTGTTCACAGTTGGTACAAAAACAAGTCATAATGGTTTACATAAGCATGTCAAGTTGTTGTTTTTTTCGTTTCATTGGTATTATATTTAACCAACTGGCAGACTTTTTTGTCAAAGAACACATAAAATAAACATTTTAACCTATCACCAACCATTTCTCAAGAGAATATAAAAGAACCACACAACACAAATACAGGGTGAATTGGGAGGATCCAGAATATTTGGAAGTAACCTGAAATAAATAATCAAAGAAAGCTTAGAAAGAACACTCGTGTGCTGAGAGTATTGAAGACACATTAAAAATTACTTGTACATGTACATGAGATATCCTAGAAGATCTATGTAGCAAATCTCATTGAAATACGATGATTAGTACTTGAGATATCAGGTAAATAGCTGAAAATTAACTAATTATGCTAATAAGGTCATTAATATGCACAAATATTTACCCAATCAAAGAAAGCTTAGAAAGAACTCCCATGTATCAAATGCTGAAAATTAATTAATTATGCAAATTAGGTAATTAATATGTACTGATATTACCATAAAAACTATCAGGTCTGTGCAGTGTCATATGACATCTATGTACCAAGTTTCATTGTAATGTGATGATTAGTACTTGAGATATCAGTGGAAAAACCGAAAATTGACTAATAATTATGCAAATTAGGTAATTAGTATCCACGGATTATTACCATAAACTAATCAAAACCTAGCATTAGTTCAGAGCGTGCATGTACAAAGTTTCATCAAAATCCAATGAGTGGTTGTTTAGATATCAGTGGAACAATCATGGAACAGCTAAAAATCAGCTAATTATCATGCAAATTAGGTAATTAATATGCATGGATTTTTACCAAAAACTGATCAAATCTGCGCATATGTTCAAAGCATCTATGTACCAAGTTTCATCAAAATCCAATGAGTGGTTCTTTAGATATCAGTGGAACAGTCATAGAACAGCTAAAAATTAGCTAATTATCATGCAAATTAGGTAATTAACGAGCATGGATTTTTACCAAAACCTAATCAAATCTGCGCATTGGCCCAGAGCATCTATGCA